GCAAAGAGTGATGATAAGGGGTTTATTCTTCTTCAATGCTTTTGATAATGTCTTCAGAAAAGAGTACAATCTTTAAGGAATTTATATGCATCTTCAGCCTCTGTCAAGGCTGCTGCAGAATTTCCTGTTTTTGTGTTCTCAGAACTGCTAAACTGCTGAAGTTGCCAGTAAAGACCTGGGTGTGTTATCCAGAAGAGGTGGAGTCTATAGCAAATCCAGATTCTTCACTGATGTTCTCAAACTATAATGAAGTTAGAGCTATTCCATCTCTTACCTCACAAATGGGTCAATTCCCACAGGCACAACCCATCTACACACTAACCCTTTCTGTTTATCTTGTTATCTTTTCTATGTATGAAACCATGGATTTTGTTGCATAAGTCACTTCAAAGCCAGCTGTAAACATTTACATATAAAAAGGTATTAAAGGAGTCTTAAAACATGTTCTAAGCCCTGGGTGCAGAGCTAGCGATGTGAAGCACACAGACCCTGGAAGCAGCTTTGTTACTCCCTTAGATGTCAAATCCTGGTTTCATGGTGAGCAGACCAAACCCTCGTATCCTTAAGCAAAGAATCTTGTACTTACAAGGGGCAAGATCCTAATCAGACTCTCAACTAGCAAACTGCTCCAGCTTAACGCCAGACTGAGGGTAGATACCAGTCTGGCATGGTCAACAGGGAGAAAGTCTGTACTTTTTAGGTACTCTTAGAGGTACTTATCACTTTGCAAACCTCCCTGGGAATGCAAATATAGAGTGACTGATGAATGCACAAAATGCAACAGAACAAATGTTTTCACCTGACAGGTGGCCCAACAGGAACCTCCAGAGGTCCTATTACACAGGAACAAGAGTGTAATTATGCTATTTTTTCAGACATCTATTCTGCAGGAGCTGGGACCTGCAGAAACTCCTCAGCAGTCCCCCCCACTTTGGCTGGGGCAGGAACAGCAGGTGGAGGAGGCCGAGGAGATCCAAAACCTTGTGGACCAGGTCATGAGGCACTGAGGAGTGATGCCTGCCCACACAAACAGCCAGCGCTGCTCTGGCAGCAGCCTTTAAAGCAACACGGCAGCCCCCACAGGTTGCATGCAGCGAGGTCTCTCTCTTTTTGTAACCCATCAACTGATTCCTTATACTTTACCGCCATTTTGCAGCCACCAACAGACCCTGTCCCAGCACACCCACTAGAGAAAAGCCAGGTGGGGTCACAGCAACCATCACAAACCCACTGTCCCCAAGCACAGACACAGGCCAGGCCCAGCCCTCGGGTTTGCCTCAGTGTCCCTCCATTCCCTAAATTGTAGGGGGAAGTGTGAGAACTCTGCCAGTCCCTCTCCCCAGCCTATGGGACAGGCTGGGCATGGAGATGGGCCTGGTCACAGAGAAAGTCCTGACCACGGAGAAAGTCCTGGCCATGGAGATGGCCCTGGCCATGGAGATGGGCCTGGCCATGGAGATGGGCCTGGCCAGGCCTTGGTGCAGCCACCCGGGCTGTGGCCTCCAACTGCACCCCCTCAGAGACACCCCTCCGACATGTACAAGACAACCAGTGGACAGGGCATGGAGATGGGCCTGGTCACAGAGAAAGTCCTGACCACGGAGAAAGTCCTGGCCATGGAGATGGCCCTGGCCATGGAGATGGGCCTGGCCATGGAGATGGGCCTGGCCAGGCCTTGGTGCAGCCACCCGGGCTGTGGCCTCCAACTGCACCCCCTCAGAGACACCCCTCCGACATGTACAAGACAACCAGTGGACAGGGCAGGCCAAAAAACCATCAGGATTTTAGGGTTTTTTTTTTTTTTTAGGCAAGGGTCTGTTGACAATAGTTACATCAGATAAATAATAGCTGCGAAAGCACAATTACCTGTTTTGTGTGCTGGTAATTAGCTGCTGGTTACACGCAGAATTAATGGGCAGATTGTTTAATACCGGAAATCACGTTGTTCTACTCGGGCTGCGCGTTGTACGAGTCAGCGCAGGGCAGTTTCGCCAGGAGTTATCTATAAAAAGCTTCTTGAAATGCAGTGGAGTTAAACAACTGGACAACTTCCAGAGAAGAACAATTGAACTCAGATATACTTTCATGGGAGATAATTTGCTCTCAGGTTATGAAAACCTGCGGCACCCCACCTGCTGTGAAGCTGCTGGCTTCTCCGTGCTGCGATGGCGAGCTTGGCTCACTGAGGCTCACTCTGGAGACAGCGTGCGGCAGAGCCCTGAACCTCACCCAGGAGCTTACTCTTTTACAGAGTGGCGGGAAATAAACTTCTGTCTGTTGGAGGGAAGCATTTCTTACACAGAAAGTAGCAATTTTAATCCATCCCCTGTGATTTTTATACTTATGAGATCGTGTTAGCTTCTTAAAATTCTTGTGAAATGCCTACACACACACACGGAACACACCTTCAGATCCCTAAAGCAGTCTTATCTGCTTCAGTTCCACTCAAAAGATCCTATGCATAAAACCAGAGCTTATTTGTTGACAACAGAATCTAAATGCAATGTATTGCTTTGACTGTTCTTTTCCTTTGTCTTGGATTGCAGCCTCTTCCAAAGCTTTGATTTCCAAATGACTCGTTAAGCTTTACCGGGTCTGAACATAAAAGCTGTACTTTTATGTTTCTTATATGGTATGTGGAATGTGGAAGCTCAACTTAACTGTGGATGCATCTCCTAAGACCTTTCTTCCTCTTGGGGCTCCATGTGTTGCTGCTTTATGAGAAGGCTGACTCGCTTCTTCAAAGGTTGTGTTGTTCCTGTTATCAGAGAGGAATCAAACAAAACAGGGAGTTTCTACGTGGGAGGCAGTGCCAACACTAACCGTTATTTCATCTGCAATAATAGCTCAGTGGCATAAGGGGCATCCACAGCCAAACTTACTGTTTTTCTTGTTTTTCTGCCAAGAGGATTTCCTGATTCCTGAAATTAGCCCCATTGCCAAGAGATACGGTCAAATCACGTGGTCAACAGTCCTAATTGCCTTGGGAACACAGAATTCAATCAATGCAGACCTGCCCCTAAAGCGCAGACTAAGGAAGAGTTGTTCTCTTCCACAGAAGGCCTGATCTATTAATAATACATTATAATATTATCTATACTGTCTGTAATATAATAATATCTAGATACAGCCTATAATATAATTAATTACCCAGAACATATTTTTATGTAAAAATTGTTTAAATACCATTTTAATACAGGGTCAATTATAGTGGTATGAAGTCACCAAATATCATGATAGCTTATTCCTCTTTTCTGGTAACACTCACTGCTGACATCTGGCACATTCATACCAACATGTAACCGTGGTGGTTGTCTCACTGTATGTAGCTTTATGTGCACTGACTTAGTTAAAGCTGTACACTCTTGTAGTGTGGACAAAGCCCAAGACTTTTTTGTGGAGCAAAGCAGGATATAACAAGCCCAATTCTTCTCTTATTCTACCAAAATGGGTGTGCACAGAAGTATCTGTTCATACACAGATGTAGAAGTAGGTCGTTGCAAATCAGGTTTGAAAACCGTAAGCAGTCGCTCTTGATTGATATCACTTTATATGGCATCAAAGGCCCATTGTGCTAGGGAGGAGAACAGAAAGTACTATTATAACTAAAGGACCTTTTGTCTGTGGTCTCTTGCACATAGAACCACCGGTAAGTTTTGGTTGTCTGCTGTAAGTCCACAGGTTTGCAGAGGCTGGTGCAAAAATACCACTTACCTACAATGGCTTGTATGGAGAAAAAAGGCTCTTTTACTTCTGTCTTCTATGACTAGTTAGAAATGTAATTCCATTGATTTTACAGAATTCGTACTTGATTTCCAGTTGTAATCTTCACTCAAATAAATGACAGCTATTAACTTCAAAGGCAGGGTTTTTATGTGTTGATTTATGCCTTAATGTCACATCAATCAACAGAAAACAGGGATGTAAATAACAAACTTTGTTTTAAGATTAAAGCAGCAAATTATTTTTCTGAAAGGATAAGTATTTGTTTATTTAATCACAAGCAGGTCAAAATATACAGTACTGCATCATTCAGGTGTTAGTGTGGATTAAAGTGTCAGGCCCATGGTTCCCTGTCCAGGTTAGTCCAGGGTTGAATAAACCACAGAAAGCTTAATTTTCTGTAAAATTTATTAACTACAGTTGTTACAGTAGCCTTGTGAAGCAAGGAAGTGCCTGAATTTTGGTTTTTATTAGGATTAATTACAAGTATGGATATAAACAAATATCTGATGAAACAACTAAGTTTCCTATCATCTGAAAAACATTAATAACAGGATTGTAGGTACAGCCTCGGAGTTAGGACTACGGTGGGGACGTGGGTGCCCCCTTGTGTTCCTATTAGAACCTTAAATAGTTTTTAATTTGTTATCCCACCTCAGCAAGACAAGGAAGAAGTTGTCTCAATCGAGTAAAGCCTTTGCATTTTAGCCTTTTAATTTACATTAATAACCAATATGAAGCATAAATTTATAACCGCTGATTCTATTATACTGCAGACTTTTTTTGCTAATTTCAGCTCTATTGAAAACCACAAAAGGTGACTGGGTTGTTTTTACATTTAAGTATAACTTTTATCAAAGGAGATTTTTTTTTTTTTTTCTTTTTCTGGCTGCTTTAAAGCTCTCTAAAGCTGAGGATTTGTTGCTCATGCCTTGCTGCACAAACTGCATTCCTTTGTCACGTGCATTTTTTTCTGCCATTTATTTAATTCACTGCCACTTTCTTACCTTACATACTCTACCCTCTATAGACTTAAAATAATCCACATGACCTTTCTTTAAATATACTACGCATTGCTTGATGATCTTTAGAGTTGCTTTCTAACCTCTAATGAACAAACCCTGTAAATGATATACCTTAAATGATACACCAACGTTTGCTTTAGCCTCAGGCATTTGATGACAGCCATGTAAAGGAAAATAATGAGTCATCTCGTCATCTCTACAGCAAGGGAGCTTACAGAGAGCTGCTGATCCTTCAGCAGCCACGTGTATTCATTACTTGGATTTCCCAGCAGGTAGGATAGACACTGGATCTGTTTGCACTTCCGCATCAGACATCCTTTTGGAGCCCTGTGGAATAAGATATAGAAATTTATAAAAGGTTTAAAATATTTCAGAACAGTTAAGGCTAGGGTTATGTGTTAGTTTTGCTAGCAGATATTTTCTACTCATTTCACCTCTCTGCTTTTCTTAATTTGCCTTTTATTTAATATGCATAAATATATGAGCACCATCTGCATCATGATGACTCCAGAAAGCTACTGCCTGGGACTTTGCCTAAATGTGTTGGTTATTTCAATATCATTTTCCCAGTCAGCATGGAAAGCAATTGTCTTTAGAAACTGCACTAACGTACCAAAGACGTTACTGTGTACTTCTAGTTTTGGCATAAGTTTCTCTAAAATTTCCCTGGCCTAAACGGTTCACTGAAACCATGCTAAGAGTCCTTCAAGCATGATTAACAGTGAATTATAGCCAGCCTTGGTCTGTTCTAAGTTAAAGGAATATTAAATACTTTCATGCATGACAGGTATTTGACAATGTTAGAGTAATAAAGCTTTTTTACACTACAAATATAATTCTGGATTTGGAACGAGTTCAAGATGATAATCCGGTTTAGATGAAAGAAATGCATAGATCTAGCTATACCAAATCATTTTTTGACCAGTAATTGATAAAAACTTGCCTTTAGTTTAAGATGCCTTGACCTAATTTTATTTGCCTTGAAGCCATTTAAACTTCAGAACAGGACAGCAAATGAATCCACAAAGACTGTTTCAGAGGTCACTGTTAACATTGCTTAGGATGCCAATCCTGTTTGTAGCCAGATACCTAAACCATTACATGCTAAACAGGAAAACAGCATGAC